TCTTTTAAAAAAAAACTTTGTTCACATTCAAATTATTTCGTGCATTTTCTCATGAGGTTTTATTCAAGCCTGTACTCCTTGAATAAAATCTGAACACCATTAGTTTTGTTTAAAATATATCGCAAATAACGTTTGTTTAATGCAACGTATGCATTGCGGGGTGTTTGCTATTTTGTACGTGATACATCGATTTTGCTTCATGCTCAAAAATTCGTCCATACTGCATGTGGATCTGAGATTTCCTACCAGTTACAAAAATGCCCAACCAACACTCATAGTTAACTGCGATGCCCGTGTAAGATCATTTGTTTAAAAGACAAATACAAAAAAAATCGTCTTCCGACCCTTATTACAAAGAGTCACCGCTCGTAAACCACACTATCAATTCTGTTTGGCCTTTTCCACTTTGGACATGCACCTGGAAGAATTTGTTATATCACAGGAGATCAAAATATTCATTTTCATTCTTTCTAGTACTTTCAGGGTTCACGTTTACTAAGGGACCATTATATGCAGATTCCCAAAAGGTCTTATCTCAACTGCCATATCTGTTATTTTGGAAGACGGCTACCAGCAAGTATTGTGCAAGATATTTACCTACAAAGGCTCCATTGAATCATCGTATCTACCGTTTACAGTGTGAGTTTATACTTCATCACACTGCATATCATGATATTCTGTGGACTTCATTTTCATGTCGTATTGAAATCATTTTTATATATTTCTTGATTTCAGTCGGTCAACAAATAATAAAACTTGCCAGTGTTTGCTTTAATTTATCCTTCATTATAAATGTCTTTTAACTATATCGTCAGGGAGCAAAATACATATGACCTTCATTATAAATGTCTTTTTATAATATAATATAGAACATTGGAACCAAAAGATTGAAGATGTACAGATGAATGAGTTCGAATAAAATTATAAAATATTTACATAAAATAAAGATTTGCATTAAGATCAAACCGAGTTCTAAATAAAACACAGACTTCTAAATGTTAAAAAGAAAAGTGTATAAAAGTTCGGTACGTTCGATCTTGAATTAAGGACATTGAAGTTAGATTGGTGATGGCTTAGTTTCCTGTACATTCTGGAAGTTAAGGGGTGATTTAGCTTATCCTCGTCGTTCTTTGTTTTCTTGAAGAAAGATTTTCATACACTGTAGTTCTATGCGTCGTTTTTCTAAAGTGACAAATGTTGCTTTTACCAGGGCATCAACACGACCAATAATACGAATTAAAAAATTATTTCGAAATAGACCATGTCTTTAAAATTTTTGAATGATTGTTTCTCTCACTCTTTTTACTTGCCCCAATCTCTCTCTCTCTATCTCTCTCTCTCTCTCTCTCTCTCTCAGTGTGTGTTTGTGTCAGAAATAAACAATTCAAGGCATAAGCAAATTTTACAAAAGGTTGTGGCTATCACTCAATTTTTTTATTTATTAGATAAACTATTCAGTTTCGTACGCAAACGCAAACCCTTTTCTTCAACCTAACGAGATAAAGAGACGCGTTGTTGTGTTAGTGGAGATGTCACAACCAAGCCAGAGCAATGCGGTAGCTAGTCAAATCATTTATTAAATTAAAGCAAACACTAATAATAATAATAATAATAATAATAATAATAATAATAATAATAATAATAATAATCGCATACCAGCTGTAAACCGTTTTAATTGATGTTTTGTATATCGCCTTTTTTTAACCTATCGATGGTCGAATGATAATCTGTGGACATTTTGGGAGATGCCTCTTGGGAGAGTATGTCAAGATCATGCAGTTTGGAGAGTTTGGAGAGCATCCCGTTGTCATGGTTTTGATGATTGTTCATGTCGGAACAGAGTCCTTTTACCGTAACTTGGTTAACGGATATCTCACTGCATTTGCAAGAGGTGACTTCAGGGATGACTACATGCTTGATCATTGAGAGAGAGAGAGAGAGAGAGAGAGAGAGAGAGAGGAGTAAGGAAAAGAGAAAAAGAGAAAGATGGGGGATATACAATGCGATTTGTTCAACTCGGGGACGTGGGAACGTTTTGAAAAATATCCATTAATATTTTATCCGATATTTCAAATTACTGAGAAAACATATGTTTACCATAAAAATGTGACTTTTATTTCAATACATCACGATAGAGACATACAACTCTCATTTTAAAAAAATCAAGCAGTGTGAGTTTATGTTTAGCTGTATATATATCATAGTTACTGAGTTAAAAAAACTATGAAGATGTTTTCATGAAAAAAAACATAAAAATACTGAATCTGCACACTAACAGGACTTGCGTTCTGATAGTATTTCAAATCACATAGCAGGTACGATGAATATGAAGACTCCATGAGGCACTGGTGAATGAGAATGATGGAAAATCGCTGCTAACTGACGTCCGATTTCCCCCATATTTCAGTTGAGATGAAACGTGGCATCAATTTTCTCCTTATAAAACTGCGATGAATGAATTCTGAAAGTAAAATCAATTTTATCGTTAGTTTGATCCTCCTTTGCATGTTGAGATTACTTTTAACTAACATAAACCATCCACGATTATTTGAAGGGGGAGCGGTCCGTTTTTTTTTAGGAAAAACAGGCCGCATAATGCGAAGCTGATCCCCCCTTCCCCCCCCCCCCCCCTTTGTATCTTAAAGGGTCATTTGGGCCATTTTGTACGGTTTACAACTATGAGTCAGTTAGTCAAAATTCTAATTTCAAGAAGAGGGTCAGGACCACCTGACCCTCCCCCTAAATCCACCACTGCCGAGTAGCAAGGCTGGTAACATTAATAATTAGAGCAATATAGCACGTTTAGAAAAGGTCTTGCTTGTTAATATCTATTAGATATCAAAGGCATCGTCCTAGTTTTCTAACATTTCAAACGTGGTCATAAGGCAAGGACATGATATACGGTCAGAATGTCGAAAGGGTGTGGTCATATATGATCATTAGTGTTTCTAGACCTAAGCAATACGAATGACCTAGATGATATGTTTTTGAAGCACTGAATGCATAAAATGTACAGCTTGATTTGTTAGATGTCCCCCCGAAACACCATGCATAATAAAGAAGACAGAAATACGGAGATTCATCTGTTGCAATACAGTAACCTAACGCTGCTTGTTGATAAACTGATCCCCTCAATATTTAGTTACATCTACATGTATAGTGCAGAGCCATAAACAAAAAATTAAATACTTCTAAATGTGGTGTGAAAAAGGGGATATTAAGGGAGTTGATTTGACTTACCTTTATGGTAGAATGGAGTGATTTAATATCTTCGATAACCTCTGTAATACCCTCCTCTGTAAGTTCTGTAATTTTGGACTGTGGGCGGATCATATACAAAACTGCCGCCGGAACCAAACCCAGAACCAAATCCGAAGCCACCGTTGGAGCCACCACCGCCGCCGCCGCCACCGCCGCCGCCACCGAGAGCAGAGCCAAAGCCGAACCCGGAACCAAAGCCAAATCCTCCGGAGCCGCCGCCACCACCTCCACCACCGCCGCCACCGCCTCCGCTGAAGTATTGGGCGAAGATCGGCATTATGATCAAGCCGAGGATGAACAGGTGCTTCAACATCTTGGCGACTATCTAGAGGACTGACGGGAAGAGTTTTCCAAAGCAAACCTCAGTTGGTCTGGTGTAGTCGTAGAGAGCCTGCATGGTTTTTATAGCATTCGCTCTCTAGCGTGTACAGACCTCTTCTTTGGTAAAACCTCATATGTCACAATACAATACAAAATATAAATCAATAGATAAATAAACAAACCATCATTTTAGTCTGCACTTCAGTATTTTAAATAGATACCATGGCACATTTTTTCTAGATGTAGTACGTTCTTGTTCTTTTGATAAATAAGAATTTGAAGGAATTATTTCCTGATGACCGCTGACGTAACAAAGGACTTGATGGTCAGTAAGCACGCTACTAGACCCTTTCACAGAGTGTAGCTGCACGCGATATACGCCAGCTGCACGCGAACTTAGGGACATCTGAACCTGTACGTACAAACATGCACATGCACATAATGAGTACGCCATAGAGAGAGAAAAGGAAAGCAGGGGCGGATTAAGGTCGTCTTCTGGGTCCTCCAGAAGATACATGTAGCCAGATTTTCAAGTTGGCAATGACGGGTATCTAATTTACTCTGTCGGACGACGGGTCATAAATGGAAGATGGATCAACAAAGATAATTTGGAAGACTGTCAGAAATTATTTTTAGACCTGCCCCTGGAAAGGGCATTCAATATTCACGCACGTGTATGATGATTCTTTGGTATACATACATATAATATAAATCGTTGATATGATAACTGTGCTGTACCCATCATCAAACTAAACTGTACAGTACAATGACCATGTAAAAACAGGTTAACATTATATTTCCAGATTTACGTTATTAATTTTTATCTCAATCTTCGAACTTTTACGCAGGATAAAAACAGCATAAACACAGCATAAATCATCGTTTTAAATAGTTCAGCAATATGTATTTCATTGCATCAAATTTAAAAGGAAAAATTGAACTCTTCTACAGACATTTGCGTGACATGACTGAGGGCTACCAGTCACTCTGTCCATCAATACTAATGACAAATGAGCTTTTCCCACTTTCCACGTGCCGTGACCGCAAATTAAGGAAACGTTTTTTTTTAACTTTCCCCCTTGAAAAATGGCCAGTGGAAATGGTGCCATTTGATTTGGTGTCATTGAAGTTTTTTAATGAGGAAAGGGTGGATTGGCATGTTTAACTTCAATTATCCTCTTGCATTAAGGGCCATCATTACACTTTTTGAAGCAGGAAATAATCCGTTCCCGCTCATCAACAGGACAAGAAACGGAAATATTGTAACTATCCGGAAGTATTGTAGTATAGTAGAGGTCCAGTAAAAGTATTCAATCAAAAATATAACAGTGTTTTGTTTTGTTTTTATTGTGTAATGCATTGTGACAAATGGGTTTTTACCAAAGAAGAGGTCTGTGCACGCTAAAGAGCAAATGCTATAAAAACCAGCGATCTCTTCGACTACAACAGACCAACTGAGGTTTGCTTTGGAAAACTCTTCCCGGCAGTCCTCTAGATAGCCGCCAAGATGTTGAAGCACCTGTTCATCCTCGGCCTGATCATCATGCCGATCTTCGCCCAATACTTCAGCGGAGGCGGTGGCGGCGGTGGCGGCGGCGGTGGCGGCGGCCCAGGAGGATCCGGCTTTGGTGCCGGTTTCGGCTTTGGCTCTGCTCCCGGCGGCGGTGGCGGTGGCGGCGGCGGCGGTGGTGGCTCCAACGGTGGCTTCGGATTTGGTGCTGGGTTTGGTTCCGGTGGCAGCTTTTTTAATGATCCACCCACAGTCCAAAATTACAGAAATTACAGAGGAGGGTATTACAGAGGCTATCGGCGATATTAAATCACCCTATGTAACGAATTGTATCTACCTACCATAAAGGTAAGTTTAAGCATCGTTCATCGAAAATCTTTTTATTCCCTTTTAAAACCATTTTGTACTTAAAATGACGTTAACTTTATATGTGGACTCCTCAAATATAGCCTTAATACTATCAAACTGTTTTAAAAAGATAACGTTAGTTTGATGCACAATATGCATTGCGGGGTTTTTGCTACCTTGTGCTAATATTTAAGTGGGAAATACTCACAATTTACTCAAATATCGATTTTGTTGTTTTTTTCATCAAAAATCGTCTACACTGTGAATTTGAGATGTCCTATCAATTAGAAAAATACCGAACGACCTTAATAGTTAACTGCGATGCCTTTTTATTATCATATGTTTGAAAGACAAAAACAAAGATAGATTTCGTCCACCGACCCTGATTTCAGAGAGTTGCAGACTTTTATTTTCATTTTTCATTTTTATCTGCTTTAATACATTTAAACTTGCCATACATGTACCACAGGAGAGCAAAATTCTCAATTTTCACTCTTACTTTCAGGGTTCAAGTTTACTACGGGTTTGTAATATGAAGATTCCCAAGACGTCTTTTCTCGACTGCCGTGTCTAATGTTTGGAAGACTTCGAGCATCAACTGTTGTGAAAACTTGGATTCATCGTATCTACAGTGTGATTTTATACTTCCTCAGACTTTATACTACCATAGACTTCATTTTCATGTCGTGTTGAAATCATATTCATAGTTTTCATGGTTTCATTTTTTCGTCATACAGTCAACAAAAGAATAAGATTCAGTAGCCAACAGTACGCCAGTATGTACATGTACTCGCTGTTGCTGGACAGATTTTTGTACCTTTATCGTGATGGAACGAAATAAATTTACCTCCTTTACGAATGTGTTTTATGATCAATAACGTAATTTCCATACTCTCTCTCTCTCTCTCTCTCTCTCTCTCTGCGTCTGCTCGGTCGATTAACATTTGTTAGATAAATAGTCCAGGTTTATTGCACAAATCTTTTCTTCAACTAAGTCATTGTGTTAGTTGAGATGTCACAACCGGGCCAGTGCAATGCGTCGTCGAGCCATGTTATTCTTCATAAAAATTAAGTCAAAGGTTAGTGAAATCCATAAAGAAATAATGAACCGTGCCATACCATCTACACCAATTCCAGACAGAATGTAATCCTCCCCATTTTAACGTGAAAAATTGCGTAGATAGCTAAGATTTAGTTCCCCCAGTATTCGGGGAATACAAAAATAAATCCACCAAACCTCAGCTTTTAGAAGACTTAGTTAATGCAATTAATACAATAGGCATATACTGAGCAATTTAGTTTTATTTTGTTATTGCTGCTTTTTGTACATGATTTCGCCCAGCAGGGTTTTGTTTTAAGTTAAAATGATCTCAATTGGGGACGTTACATGGTTTTCTACTTGATTTTATTGTCACGTCATTGTTTTTAAAATAAATATTCTTACATTTCCCGGTTGAAAACAGTTTGGATGTCTACGGCGATATATAATACCTAGCATCCATAACGTACCGCAGCCACTCTGGACACAGAGAAACGCGCCATCCAGGGGAATTTTGATGGCCCAATATTCATTAATTTTCAATGCCACTGAATTTGATTTCTTCATTTCCTCATGAACAATAATTTTTTTCCATTAGGTTTTTCGTTTTTGCAGAAGACTGTGAAACTCTGCATAACTAATAAAGCCAAAAAGGCACTTTAATGTTTTTTGTCTAATCTAGCATGAAAATTGCTTATATAAATACAACGTAAGGGTAAAACCAGTTTTTTTTCTATCAGATTCATGTTATTCTGTAGTTAGAATATTATTCTTTCATCATGAAAACAGTTGAAGATTCGAAGAACTGAGGTTAATCTCATAAAAGCACACTCCTTTTAACACATACTCGTAAATTGTGCAGCAACCACAAGAAAACGCCTTTAGCTGACAAAATGATGACATACACTGTGCAGTGTTTTGGTTTCATGTGTACATTCTACCTCAGTCACACAGCGATTTTTTCTAGATATTCACCAACACGTGTATTTCTCAGTTTATTCTGTGTAAATGTGTGTCCAGTAAGACGTTTGGCGAAAAAAAGAAAGATAAATTGATAAATGACACATTCAATCAGCCGACCTCTGATAGAGACCTCTGTTGTTGTTGTTGTAATTCTTCTTTTTCTTCTTATTTATTTATCTATTTATTATTATTGCTATTATTATGTTAGTTCTTTTGTCAGCCAAAAGCGTTTCTTTCGTTTTTAAAAAAGTAGTGAAATATTTTCTGCATCGTCATACACATTCTCCATTGCTATCTCGATTTTAAAGGTGTCCATCTGAAAACATACCTCTTCTTACACAGATACTAGTAAATAGCAAAATCAAATAAATATGTACTCAAGGCCAATGAATTCATAACTGATAAAATATCACCAAGTAAGCCATCTGCAAGCAATAATATCGCGACTAGGAGTGATATATGTGACCTTCTGCTATTACTGTATTAATCTTCCGACGTGTTGCTAGGTTTTGCAAGGGGCATTTTGCAAGTGAATACGTAAACCGTATAGGCTTTTATAGTAGATAAATTTGCTTTTAAATTTTATGAAGGAATCAATGACAATATTTTGAAATTTGAGACACGAGTTCGTCATAAATATTTGCCGTTACGCTGTACACAATATGACACGCACGTATGATGTAGCCACTGCTGCTGACGGATAGAAAAAATCTAACAGAAGCTATGTGTGGTTGCTCCCAGGCGGTACATGGAACGTTACTTCGTTTTATTGCCAGTGTGAAAGGTTTTAAAAACCCCTTTGGTCCTCGCTCCGTTCAGGGTGGACGTCGTCAGCAACAACAGCTATTATCAATAAACGGTTTTCTTGGACGAGTGGAGAGAGAGAGAGAGAGAGAGAGAGAGAGAGAGAGAGAGAGAGAAAGAAGGAGGAGGAAGAGAAGGAGGGGGTGAGAGAGAGTTGGGTAGCTGGAATGAGGAAGAATGACCCCAAATAAATAACGTAATTAGACTTTGCGATTTAGACGTCTTCCTTCAGTGGGATTTCGCTGTGCACCTCTTTTCGCATGGCTGAATGTTCACATTAACTAGAGTTCATAAGTCCATGGCCTGCTGGCTTTCCGTTGGGTTTCAACCCCCTTGTGTGACTTCTAATGCGACTATTCTATTTGGTTTAATTACACATAAAAAGGCGTACACCATTACGTTAATGGAAGGACGGTTTGCATTAATGCCAGTCGACGGAATTTTGAATTTGCAATCAATTTTTTTTCTTCTTGGTCCAACGTTGTGCACGGAGTATATTGAGATAGTTGACGGAAAAAAGTCTTGATTAGTTAAGATCGTTTGCACCTGGACGTGAAATGATGAATTTCCTCTGCTGTTCGCAGTACAGTCCAGGTCGGCATGGGTTAAAGCACGCTATTGTGCGTGTTGTCTTCTTTGCTTACTTAAGATGCGCTCTTAACGATATTTATTTCAACAATGCAATGAATGGCATAAGCACATGCAAATAATATGTATTTGACGCATTATCTTTTTATTAGCTCTCTCTCTCTCTCTCTCTCTCTCTCTCTCTCTCGCAACAAACATATGCATCTTTAATGACATTTCCGTAGAATTATTATATAACATGAACAGCACATGAGATGAGCGCGCATTCTCCCACAAAAAATATTTCCATAACCTCACATGGAAACCCTTCCTTCACTAAATCAAACACATGTCACGAGGTCTCATCTCGTCACCTTCACGTCACCGACCTTTGAATTGCCGCGGCCTTGTTTTCATACAGCGGAGACGATAATATTTTCTTCATCGACTTTTTCATTCGCGTTGTTTTTACCTGGGGGCGTTTCTTCACAAACCTGGGATTTCTTTGCCACTAATCGGTATCCGAGTGGCCTTTCCTTCCTTCTTTTCGTCCTTCCTTCCATTTCTTACCAGATTTCCAAGAATCGGCTGGAATACAATTCCGAAGATGCGCCGCTTTCAAAAAGTATAATTTTTTAAGGAAAAAAAAAATGTTTCAAGTTTTACAATGTATCTCAAACGGCTACACGGAAGGGGGAAGGCGATTTGAATGTTTCTGATTTGGAACTTGATCGGGTTAGGGGATTGTCTTTACAGGCGCTTAAATAGTAGAATAATAACATCACTTTAAGACCGAAGGATTCATGGTCGTTTTCACGGTGTGTTGTGAGTAGTATGTGCAGACGACATACATGTAGAAGGGGGTGCCGCGTTTCCCTTACCAGTCACAAAGCTTTACCTTGGCGATTTGTTCCTTTCGTGAGACGACTGCCATTTCAGACGCGGCCGTTCAATAAATAATCTACCTCGGCCGAGTGATTATTGAATAAAAATGGATTGGCTGTCCCCAGGCTTAGCTAATCTATTCACTGCATATGAAAAGAAATACGTTAATCAGGTCCCGCCATGGAGGGAACGCGGGGCTCTGAAGATTGAGGCATATTTTATTCAAAAGAAAGTTATTTCAATCAACTTTGTCACACTTGTTATATAGTATGAGTCAGAAAATGTAGATTACACTTTGATGATATTATGTGAAAGAATTGGCAAGGAGGGTAGGTGTTGAAGAAATGGCGTTGGCTTTTCCCAAACTTCATACCCGCTTACTAAGATGCATGTACATTCTGAGGGGGAGCAGAACGCCTTGTGTATCCGCGGATATTGCAGTGGTAATGGGCGTGTCCTCGTCCATTTGCTGTCCACGTCATTGTCCTAAAAAGTCCTAAATATCTTAATAAACATGTTGTTAGTAAAATCAACATCTTCGAAAGAGTTCGGACTTTTCAAAAGCTTGAGATGACAAAATTCAATCATAGCAAACGCTCCCCCCCCCCCTTTCTTCCAAACCAAACGGTTCTTAATCGTTACATGTGGACCAAATATTTCGATATGTAAAAAAATCTAGTTCGAGTAAATCATCCAGCTTACACGTTCTCTTCAGTTACATACAGCAGACCAGTCCAGAAATCACTTTGAAGAAATAATGACTTATAAAGAATAACAACGCCCCCCCCCCCCCCCCCCCCACAAACGCCCCATCCCTGAACTCATCCCGCTTTTTCAACTTCCAATCTTAACCTACGAGGTGACCCAATAACGTATAAGAAGACTCCAATGTCTCGGTAACCACCGCCGTGCAAACATCGAACACGTAACACGGGTCACCGGGTCCCGAGTAGTTTCTACGGCAGGGTGTTCTTATTATAACAGACGGGAGAAACCCACGGTCCTGCAGTGCCTTAGGGTCCCGTCTGCGCCTGAGGCGCTTGACTTCCCGTGCACCCCCCTTTCACTCCCCTCCATCGACCGTGATTGAACAACAATTAGGAAATCGGAATTAATTATTCTCACGCTGCCTGCTCGCTTCAATTAATTATTAGTTGGAAGCAGCTCGGTGGAATTGGTCCGAACATTTACACGTCTGTATAATGTCCCCGGGCTCCGGCTCTTCGGGACGGGATTGTTGTTCTTTAAGTGGTTTAACGCGGTGAAAACAAACTCGTGAAAAAAGGCCACAATAGCCGAACAAACAAACATAAGTATGCAGGCTTTAAACCGGGAGTTCTTGTAAAGAAACAGAAAAAGTACCCGTGGCGCATGCGCATATGGACCCCTCCGCTGTGATCGGTTTCATATATAAACACAGCGAACAGTGAGTTGAGAGCGAGAAAGAGAGGCGCTGCGTCTCGTAACAGGTACACTACTACACGTGGATCAAAGCGAACGTCCATAAACAGTTTTATGGGCTGCATTAGCCTTTGTGTGGGATATGTCGTCTTTCATGGCGTTTAATACTACACTGGGTTGACACAGCAGAGAAAAGGTCGTACATCGCCCGCATTAACCTACAGAGAGCACCTACCGTGGTATGATAATAACGGGAGAGAGGTGGGAAAAAAACGTCGCACGGGTTGACATCCCGCCGAGAAGGATTCTCCACGCCGGAGGCTGTACGGGAAACATAGCGTTGACTCGAGGAACTTTCACGAGTGAAGCCGCCGCTTTGATTATTGATAATTGGTTCTAGGAGGCTTAATGCGTGACACAAATTGAGACACTAAGGAGGCGAAGAGTAGCGTTGAAGAGCGAGAGTCGTGTTGGTTCAGTTGGATGGCGGATAAGCCAATTGACGACGCCTGACTAGGATTTTGTGCGGAGCGGAGAAAAGTTTTATCTCTCACGAAAATAAACGTCGACTTATAGAGAGGGAGAGAGACGCGATCTTGCCTGTATATATATACACATACACACAGGCACATAACAGGACCGGTGGTGCATTTGTTCATTAAAGCCACTAAAAGTCATGCAGTGGCCCGGTTATTCATTCGTGCAAGCCTCTCTAACGACCTTCCCCGCGGGCTACAGCCGCCCCCGAGGCTTTCTCACGGGGCTGTGCGCCCTACTCCTCCACGTGCTGGTCCTCGTCCCCTTGACCGGAGGCAAAGTCTACGAGAGGAAGCTAGTCGATCGCATCGTCACTACGCAGTACGGCAAACTACGAGGTCTTCTCCTCGAGATCCCCAACCCCCATCTGGTGCCCGTGGAGGCGTACTTCGGGCTGCAGTACGCCTCCCTGCAGGGCGGGGACCACAGGTTCATGGTGTGTTCCAGCCCCACGGAGAAGTGGGACGGGACGCGGATCGTGTACGGCAAGCGGGCCGTGTGCCCCCAGAGAGCCATAGACGAGGCGGAGTTGAGGAAGACGATGCCCTACGCCAGGGTGCAGCACTTCCTGAGACTGATGCCCTTCTTGGAGGACCAGACTGAGGAATGTCTGAATCTCAATATTTACGTGCCACAACGAGGTAGGTGGATTTTTTGTTAATTTTCAGCTGAAAAAAAAACCTCACCCACCCTTCTCTTGCTGGTCATCCTATGCGTCCCAGAATGAGCACTGGGGGCTCTATGGTCTAACAGAGGAAATGTACCTGATATCAACCTAAATCGATAAAGATACAGGAAGAATGTGATTAATATCGCAGACATGATATAGCAGTGTTCAAATTACCCTAGCGCTGTTACAGTCTGTTTTCTGTCGTGAACCGGCACATTTCGTCAACTAATACAATATATGGAGTTAGGACTTCGACAGTCACATTAAAAAAATAACTGAATTTGCCCACATATAACACTCCACAGAACAAGCCATTTATTTGTAATTATAATAAAGGCCAGAGGTGTACAAACAATGACAAGCTCGGTGTGCTATGAAAAAGCTCTCCGTGGTAGGATTCTAAATGACTTATTTCTCGTTATGCAGTTTAATGAAAACTCTGAAATGATTTATAAATTCATTTGATGAAAATACCACCATAATAACACGGCCCGGGGGGAAATTAACCCCAAAATTCCCTGTCAACTCAAATGTCAAGTTTCTAGAACTGCATCTTAAACCTAAAACGCCTTTTTACGTTGAAATCCCAACATTAAAGCCTTGAAATAGCAATTGTAAATGCCATACAAAAAAGCCACATCAAAAGCGGCATATGCTAAATGTAGTTGAAACACGTGTCGACGTAAATGTCATGTGATCGCCTAAAGAAATAGAATCAGTATTTTTTTAGTGTTGTTCAAAAAATTACTTGATTGAAATTGCAATTAAATTAATGTTCAACTTAACACGTACGGACGAACACGCACACGCACAAATCCAGCAGTACCGAGACCTAAGTGCCGTATCAACGTCACTGTTTGTTTGCCACAAGAGTTAACACGAAATCTGCACTGTGAACTACAATATTTGCATGCAACAACAATCTCCGCCACCGACATGGGGCTGAGACAAATAACAACATCAGTGACGTAACATGTTTTATTTAATAACACAACCACTTTGTTACCCGTCAGGTGCGCAAATACCAAGCGTGCACCCATTCTACGCTCAAAATGTCCTTCTGTGTGGGTGATCACGTACATGGGTGCATTAACCCCCCGGCAGAGTCACAGACACGGCCTGCGGCGTTTTTCTGACCCGTGAGATTCACTCAGTTTGGTCCATGTCGCTTACTCTCTCCCACGAGCCTTCCTTGGGCCTCTCCGTCACCAACCAGAGCCTGTTCTACACAGAAAGAACCTCCGCGGATAGAGGATCGTTATAAAAATAGTGTCGAAGGAGGGTCATCAGGTTTTAAGGCTCGGAAAGACCTCGGCATGACCCTCCCCCGGAACGCTTATGTGACTAGTTAACGCGGTATAAAATAATCTTTATCGGTGCTAACACAACGTTTATTAATGGTGACAGTGACATAAATTCGTATTCGCGTTTCCCGCCTTTGGAAGAGACTCAATACGGTAAATGTGATAACTCTGTCACCCCATTAACTGAATTATTCCTCCTTTAAAACGTCATCAATAACAAATAAACGTGGCGTGACGTATGTGTGTGCGCGCCTGTGCTGATATTCCTGTCAAAAGATGAATACGCTGACGCGCAGATGCCCTTAGTACGTGGTCTTGTGACGTGGCTTTCAGTTTTGGATGCTCCGATCGTCGGAAACGATTACCTAGAATTGAAATTGGCCCGATGAGCCAACCGCTAATTTAATCGAAATATTGCTTATCTGAGTCTATCGGGGAGATTGACGTACTAGTACCATTTACGGTTCTGCAGAGCTGCCAAAATTACAGTATTCGAAATGCGCAGACCTGTTTTTAATATGATTTTTAGAATAGAAAAACAACTTAAAACTATGGTATTCGATACAAAAAATATGGTTAGAATAAAAGTTTATTTGTAGAATAGGCAAGCTCCTCTTTTCCTTTAGTCAAAGATCGTGATCAGTAAGAGAGAAAGAAAGAGAGAGAGAGTAAGGAAGAAAACAATCAGTTTTTTTTTACATTAGATAGTTTCTTCCAAGGTTTATCATTGTGTGAGATATGATCACTAACGGCTCTTTAAATAACCGAAGTATAATTCCCATCATACTATTCGTAGGGAGATGGGATTTAGATACTTATTCTGGCACGTTTAGGAATGATGTGTACTGAGTGTAGTGTAACGAGAAGTATCAGAACCAGCAAACTGTGTTGAACACATTCAGCAGTTGTAGGTTTTTTTATGACAATTCCATCCCGTGTATCTTCTCACCCGCCCCTGTGAAATTAAGAAAGTGACACTAGATTTGATAAAGACTGTTTTACAGTGACAATTCTTTCCCTGTATTTCAGAGCCATGTTATTTCTTCAATTACTGGTTTTGAAAGCGGGTCCTCGCGGTCTCATTTGTATTCCACCACTTCGTGTTCTGGAGGCGCTAAGAAATGAATAAGAACTCACTTAGCTAGATGAAGTGAAGTCTCTAAGGTATTGGCAACTGCATCAATTGGGCCTTTTTTTCTAATTGCCACTGTTCGACTAAATATACGGGATAGCCGGCTACTTGCTGAAAACGATCTCGACTTATGCATTTTTATATGACGTAGGTTCTGTGAGGTAGGGAAACCCCTGCGTTATTGTAATGTTTAGCTCGGTCCTTACCCACCAACCACTGAACTTACCCCCTTCCCCCCCCCTCTCTCTCTCTCTCTTCTCTGTATCTATCTTTGGTAATATTCTAGATTTAAAAAAAAGACCGGTACAGGGTATATGCCAACATATACCAGCTGGAGACCAAAAGTCAATTCTGAAAACTTCCTTTTTTATGCGAATATGTTCTAAATGTCGATATCATTTCACTTCAATTATCAGAGGAAGTTCCTGCGATTCTAGTGGATTATCGTATGCATAATTAAACCAATTTTCTGAGACATCTATCTTAATTGGATAAAACAGCTAGCTTTTTCCCAGTATTTCGCCAGCCTCGTTGTTCTTACCAAAACTGCTCATACAGCTGGCAAATCTGTGTCATTCGAAAACGAGACCCCTGTGTGGATATTGCACTCAAGACCAGGAGCGCCTTAATAAAATTACCAGATGAAAGAAAGCTTTAACATTTTGAACGAATGGATCCCTGGTTTAAAAAAGGGAGAAGTAAATGTCAATTCCAGGAAAATTCATATCTAGATGTGTTCACTGGGAACATTGGCCATATGGGACGTCCTTTTATCACTTCGTTTATCTTTGCACCTACACAGTTCAGGAGATAGATTTTTTCTTTTCTTTTCTTTTTATTTCATTTTTATTTATCCGTTTTATTTTTGTGCTTCCTGACACTTCACTCAAACGTGTGTGCCGCTCCCTCTAAGTGGTTAATCCTGCACAGATAAGAAACGACCTTATAGATTTGCGTTGCACATCCCCTCCCCCCCCCGTCCCCCTACCCCAACTTGAAAATACCCTATGATATAAGAAGTCTCTAAAATAGTATAGAAAATTAAAGTATAGGCAAAAAATTGGGTAACAGACTACTAACTGGCCTTGTGGTCAAAGAGAACACTGTTACATGAAAATGCTTCCTCTGTGGTTACACAACATTGAACTAATTCGGTAATAAGATGTCATAAAACCATAACGATAAAAACATAGTAAAAGACCGCTACCGGTTTGACAGTCTACTTGTGAGGCCCTACATGTATCTTAGACCACAGTCATCAATTAATAACTTAAAACACTAGAAACAATCTGAACATTGGCGGCTATTGTTACCATGAGTTAGCATGGGCATGCATACCTAATGGCTTTGGCACCAACGGGTGCATGTTAATTCCGCGGTGGCAAAGGGGCATCGTTATGCCATTCAGAGTTAATGGGGGGTGAAACGTGTTTAACGGAATACAGTGTGTTGTTTTTTTGTTCAGGGAGAGTCACCCGAGGCACGGTTGGCTACAGTAGCTGTGTTTAATGTGCCACTGGGGCACGACAGATCTCCACGTTCCAAAAGCGCTACCCCTCTTTGATTAGCGGAGTGTTTTATCTAATTATTAGAAGTGGGGTCCACAATTAAAAGGCACTACCACAAATTAAACCGCCTCTTATCAATAATCCGAATTCCCTTTGGTTCGTGAAATGCACGCCCTTTGTAATATTAGCTAATGGGCTTACATATACATTAATATCATTTTCGTTGTTATTCACAAAGAACACTTCATAAACGAATAACCAACAACTCATGAACCTCTTCTAGACAACCAATGGATTTTAAGTTTAGATCATATGTCAAGTATTTTTGACGTTGAAAATCTCAGCAAGTGCTCCGTGTTTGAATTCTAGCCACTTAGACTCTTGGTGTAAATATTGACCAACTGATTAAGCAAACAATTTAACTGTTACTCTAACCTGCATCCTAATATAGCATATAACATGAAACTGTATGTTGAACGAAACGAAGTGATAAAAATGAGGGTCTGACTCAAAAATCCAGACTATATATAAATAAGCATTGTAATTTCAAGGCTGATTCATTGACAACCACTCAGGGAAAACACGTAAGATGATTTAAAATGACCAGCCAGAATCGAGAATCGCGACTTTCTTAGCAATGACATAACTCAGGGACAACATCTGTAGCCATGTAGAGGGTTTGCACCCCAGTAGCCAAACCCTATCTGCCCCTCTATCTGCCCTTCGATGTGTGCTTAAGGTTCCCTCAGACAAAGTCCAAGTTGAAACGAAAATCACCCTAAACGGCGTCATCAAACGACAACATTATTCAAGTAGAGATTCATAACCGGCAAGTCCCATGCGGGTGTCTCCCTGCGGAGAGCGGGTTCAAAATGAGTCCCAGATATACTCCAAGGTCTAGTTCATTAACCGGATGACTAGCTTACGAGTTAAAAGATCGACCTGTGTCACGTTCCATTTTGTCTGAGCAGACCTAGAGTCACCTCAGTGTCACGGGTGTCAAGGCAAGCAATTAGTGCTTCCTGTT